TGTTTAGTAAATCAGTCTCAAAACAAGATCAAAAAGATTTTTTGGCTGGATATAAGATTTTAAAACTTAGTTAGGTGGACATTTTTTGCAGTGTAAAAACTAAACAGTAATTTTAGTCTTTGTTTAACAGTTTAAATTGATCAAATAATGTAAGTAATTGTAGATCAGCTTAAGGAAAACTTCATTCCTAAGCTTTTATTTTGACTGATTATTGGAGCCACATTTTTCACGACTTTTTTGTTAAAATTAGGAGTAGCCATGTGACAAACAGCATAGCCCTTTAAAGTCTCTTAGCATCTGATTGTAAGAAGGTAAGTGTCCTATTTGACCCATCAGCCTTTTCAAATAGCAACAAAGGCCACAGTGGGAAGAGTTTATCAACTGGATTGGCCCAAGAGTCACTCCCTTGACCTGAGGGCACTAAGTCTTTGTGACTCCCTTCTGGCCCTACGTGTGGCTCCATAATGAACTGAGGCGAGCACCGCCGCAGCATTTGGGCTGCTGTAACCTCTCGACAATGGACATTCTGCTCATGCACACACATGGAGAGTGACGATCCAGCCACGGCTCGTTTAATGCCACCGTTTTGTGATCCCAAACGTAGGAGTCCGGTTTCACCCACCTGAATCTTTACTAAAAGATGCGAAACAAATGGCGAGCAGCACTTTTGTTCTCATTCTCTCTCGGTTTCTTTTTACGGCCTGGTCTAACAGCAAACACTCGCACCCTCAACACCTCGAAAAACCACAAATAATGTGAGTTTCCTTCCCCCTCAGCTAAAACAGTCACCCACACACTTTGCAAAAATAAAATAATAAAAAAAAACACCCAATGCGCACCACTGTTCACCATGATTCATTTTCACAGTGTGGATGGAGAAAGTCACCCCGCAGTAGAAACAAAGTCAAACACGATGCAACTCTCCACATGAGTCGTGCCCCTTTCCTCTGATTGCCAGCAGGCTGGTGTAGGGAATGTTAGTCAGAAGGGGGAAGGGGATGTTGTGAGGACACCGAATGTGCGTTTGTGATGGGGAAGGGGGGGGGGGTGGTCTTTGTGAGCGAGAGAGGTAGGAGGAGAAGGGGAGAGGGAGGGGGACATAGTGTTCTGTTTCTTATAGACCAACAGCTGCTGTGTTCAGTGCAGAGACAGAGAGAGGAAGAGGGAGGGCTGTGTGGCGTGAGGCGGTGCGTGTGCTCACTGTGCTCAGCGTTTAGGTGAATCCACAAGCCTCTGCCTCCCAAGGATAAAGCACCACAGAGAGCAGCGACGCCGCCTCGTTCCCAGCATCCTCTCTCCCTTGCGTCTTCTTTCATTTGCTGGTGTCTGTATTTATTTTTATTATTTTTTTCTTTGTTGTTTCTGTCCTTTTCTTTTGTTTCCCTCCCCGCATCTCACTCTGCTTCAGCTCCATCCAGATAGAAGGGGAATAAAAAGGGAAAGGAGCAGAGCCAGAGGCGCCTTCCTCTCCTTCCTGCAGCCGGTAAGCTGACTTTCTGTTTTACCTGTTAGCATCCTGGCATCTGTGCCGCGCTGATGGTCAGAGAGCGAGCCGGGCAGTCCCACCCTGCACCAACTCAGACAGGAGAGGAGAGGAGCCTGTGGCCGAGGCTGAGGATGTGGGTCAGGATTAGGATGGCGGCTGGCAGGTGGTCAGCTCGAGCGGGACAGCGACGGTGTGGAAAGTGGGGTAGGCCGGGATCCTGTGGGGTGGGCAGGGATCCTGTGGGGTGGGCAGGGATCCTGTGGGGTGGGCAGGATCCTGTGAGGTGGGCAGGGATCCTGTGGGGTGGGCAGGGATCCTGTGGGGTGGGCAGGGAGGTTGTGCATTCGATTTAAACCAGGTGCTCAGCTGGGTCTGGTCGTCCTTCGCTGCATTGCTCTGGTGGTCACTGCCACAGTCACAAACACACATTTGTGCAGCTAAAACCCATCAGAACATGGTGTCTGCTGATCTAGAACCATCATATATCACACAGATGCCCCCCCCCCCACCACACACACACACACACACACCTTTTTCAGTTCTGTCAGGTCACACATCGTTCATCAGGAGTCCTGGACAAAAAAGCTGAGCTCAAAAGAAAGCTAAAAGCAAAAACCCCAGATTCCAGTGCTGATCAGAAGGAGGGGGTGGGGGGACCATTGGGGGTGGGGGGGATGTGAATGAAGGTCTCAGGCTTTTCAGGAGCATTTTGTCCTGCTGAATGTGTCGAAAGGGTGAAGGAGCCTCGTTTGCCTCCATGTGACTCTGCAGGTCTCCTTTGTGTGTTTGAGGGGGCAGTGATAAAGAGGGACGCTGAGGATGGAGGGATGCCTGAATAGGAGGGCAGCGATGGTGTGTGTGTGTGTGTGTGTGTGTGTGTGTGTGTGTGTGTGTGTGTGTGTGTGTGTGTGTG